TTTTAGGATGCATTTTGAGGTTCAATAAGTTCTAATAGAATTTTTAGCTTGGATTTGTGTTCTAAACACATTTTTTGGCATTTGATTTTTATGGGTCTCATCTTAATTCATCAATTTTGGTATTTTATTTTACTCTCTTTTAGAAATTTTCATGTCCTTCTAATTAAGTCCCTCTTGCATTAATTGCTTTGTACATAGTTGGTTTGTCTATGTAAATACTTTAATTGACTCAATTTAGTGTTTAACTTTCATTTTTCATATTTAATTTTTGTTTCATGTGATTATTTGATAATTTAAGTGGTACCTTGACCTTTTTATTATTTTGGAGGGTAAGTTAGTAATTTCACTACGTTAGGGCGTCGCTTCAAGGGAGGTACACTCTATCCTTCATTTGCACTACATTTGACCTTACGTGCTCCTACGTGTTATGTGAATATGCATGCCTACTCCGCTTTCCTTACCTCCTTGCGTGCATTTAGTTGCTTTTACTTTTATTTAAGCTTTATGGGGTATGTGTACACCTCTTGGCTTGTAATAGATAGGGTTTTGGCGAGCAATTTGGTCCATTCTCCCTCTTCCCCCTTTTGTTTTAGTTAGTGAATGTAATAGGTTCATTAGCTTGGTTGCATGCCCATGTGCTACATGTTACTTGCTTTATTAGGGCCTTGCATCTAGTCGAGCATGCTAAGTGTTACATGCTACGTGTTTATGAATTTTGATATGCCTACTCGCTTTCCATAGCCTTGAATGAATGTGATGGATGAATGCACGTCACCACGCTAGTCCAACGCTAGTTGTGGCCCTTGTACGCCACCACACTAGTCCAACGCTAGCTGTGGTTCATTGTTCCGTTCCACTAGTCCAACGCTAGTAGGAACTCATAGAGGGCTAGTCCAACGCTAGACCCAATAGGTCCATTTCCTTTTCATTAGTACATGTTTGCATGTTTCACTTCATTTCATGCATTTTTTCTTAGTTTTATCATTTGGCATGCACCTCGAACCCCCTTTCCCTCCATTTTAGGATTTTTGCATTTCATGCTAGTTATAGGGTTCATTTGCTTGAGAGTCCCCTTAAATATGGGATATAGACGAGTGTGGCTTTTTCTAAGCCTTAGCACGCTTGTATCCTCTCTATCAAAGGGCAAATTGAGTCATGATTTAGGTCTCCCCGTACCCATTATGCATGAATTCCCTAGGTTCATGCATCCACTCTATCATTACACCTTCACTTTTCCTCTCATTTGCACACGTACACCTTTTATCCATTCACTTGCACACTTTCACTTTTGTCTCCTTTGCACACGTACACCTTTTTATCCCTTCACTTGCACACTAACACTTTTTATCATCACTTACACACATGCACTTCATATTACCATTGCGCATACCATACCTTGCCCACTCACGTGCACATTTTTCACTTATGCATCTTTGTTTTTTATTATTACTTTTTCAAACTCATGCCTTCACATTGCATACATGCATTCCATTCATTTACATCCCACTCGCATTATTCGTGACTTCTTCAAAGGATCGTTATTGGGCTTCACAATTAATGTGATTGGCACCACTCAACCTGTGGAGAGAAATTTCCCCCAATACCCCTAGGTCTAGGGTTTTGCATTCATGTAGCACATCCAAATGTAATAAATTCTTTGGTTAAAACAAGAAAATCTTCGATTAAATCACGCAACTAGCCTTGGCTAGGTCAAAGGGGTGCCTTGGATTTTATCCTTGCCTTCCCCTTTGTCAAATGTGACTCCCGAACCTTTTTCATTGGTTTACGTAGATTATGAGTCGTTTAAAAAGGGTTTCTCACTACTTTTCCCTATTTTTCTTTAAAGATACATTTTTTAGGTGACTTGGTACACCTTAACTCATTACCAAGTGGCGACTCCCATTTTTTTCAAAAAACCCTTTTTAAACTATAATTTTGGGTCAAATCGTCGCATTTTCAAACCCCCATTTAGACCCATTTTTCTTTTAAATCACGATTCATTTTCCAAATCACAAAATACATTTTTAAACCATTTTATTTTATTTATTTCATCAAAAAATGGGGCGCGACAGTTGGCGACTCCACTGGGGAACTTTCGAGAGTCCGAGCAAATATGATTTAATCAACCTTTTTCTTCTTTTAACCTTTTCATTTATCACATTGGATGTTTAGGATTGCATTTTTTCCTTATTTTTTAGGATTTTTGCATTTCGCGTATTAACTCACTTCCTCACACATTCGATTACGATTGTTTGGATGGATGGATGATTTATTTTTGTATGATTTCGCGCTTTGCATTGCATTTGGGGGGGTGTCACCTTTAGAGCCTTGTGTGGTTCTCAACCCCTTCCCTCAAAATAGGGAGCACTTCATACGTGCACGTTTATTTATTGTTATCCCCATTTTATTTTATTTTCGTGGGCGTTTCCCACACCGCCTTGTAGGATTAGGATCGATCGCCTTGGGTAGGCGGCTGGTGTGCTCTGCGCCCATAGCGCTACCTAAGGGATCACTCGAGCCACCGATCAAAGGCCCTGGGAGTGATGACCCTTCGCCTTTAGGTCTGAAGGCTTGGGAGCCGAGACTTATCGAGTCTAGTTGCATTAGTGAGCCCCAGCCTCATGCATCCATATTAGACTCGCCTAGGGTAGAGTCGGCCTCACCTTTTTTTAAGCACATTAGGCACGAGGGAAGGGGTTCCACCCCTTTTACTTGCTTTATTGTACTTCTTTTTTTTTCTTAATTGCTCCCAATATGTTACGTGTACTATCAATTGTACTAACTATTCTTGCGTTTTCTTGGCTTGCATTCATGTGCCATAGCAATAAAAGGCCTCTTTGGCACTCTTTTTGTGACTTACCCGCTAGATAGCTCACATGTTTAATTTCAGTCATTACACTTAATTTTCAATAACTACATTTCATTTTTAGACCTCTTTCCCCCCGATGCATTATTTATGCCCTTTAGGCCATATTTGTTGCATATTTTACTGCTTTAAATAACTGGCATCACGCATAAACCATAGAAAGGGAATGCCACGTAGGGAATCCCGTGTTTAGGAATAAGCCGCCACATGTCTCGGATATTTAATCCAATGGGACTTACACGTTTACTATTTCTGCATTACCTAAAGGGTAAAATCCCGAGGTAAGGTACTAAAGTGAATTTCTTCCCCAGATGGCTCCGTGTAGAATGCTCAATCAGATACCTCGTGAGCTAGTAGATTGGAAGAACAATATGGCACATGAAGTGAACAGACTTTTCCCGTATATAGGACATTTACCTAGTCTCTTGAATATAACTCCGAATGTAGCCATTGTCCAAGCTTTGCTCGAGTTCTGGGATCCAGACAGCTCTGTTTTCCGATTTGGAGAGTGCGAATTAACACTAACCCTGGAGGAGATAGAAGGATTGTTACAAGTGCCTGGGAAAGGTCACCCTATGGTATACCCAATGAATGGCACCAGAGAACAATTTTGTAAGTTCTTAGGGTTAAAACAGTTTAGCATGAGTCAACACCCGGACGTAAGATCATGCCCGCTGGAGTTCTTATACAAGCGATTCGGGGAAAAGGAATCCTATGATCATCACCACGAGGACTTTTTCGTTAGTAGAGAACAGTGGGAAGAGAAACGAGTACTAGCTTTTGGGATAACTCTGATCAATCTACTCCTGTTTCCGAAAAAGCATGGGAAAGTTACGTTTTCAACGGTCAACATGGTTCAGAGTGTGTTTTTGGGAATTAGAGGAAAAACTCCTACCTTAGTACCTGTTATTATTGCTGACATTTTCGCCGCTGTTACTGAGTGCCGAAAGAAGAGAGGGTTTTTCTATGCATCCAACCTGGTACTTCAAATATGGGCGATGGAGCATCTGTCAAAAAGAACACTGAATTCGTTGGGATCATGCCTTCCAACAGCAAATTGGATTGAGTCGCACCGAGAGAGGGTTAGAAAATACTATCGAATAGAGTCTCCGAGTTTGTTTATTCAGGAATTCAATGCTTTGACTTCGGATAAGATACAATGGGTTCTTGATTGGACGAAAGTAAGGGATCCAGCTTTCAGGACAACACAACTTGATTTTATCCCGTTAGCAAGCACCGGTGGATTGATTGTGTATGTGCCACAACGAGTTATGAGACAGTTTGGGTATCCGCAGCGAGTGCCGACCATACAAAGGATGGGGAGCATCGAACTCAATACAGTCACCGAATGCCAGACTATGGTGCTGGAAGCTTGGGGGAATCTGTGTAGTCTGGACAACCTGCATTTGGACCAAGTGAATAAAGTAGAGCCTAAGGTCGTCTTAGAGTACAACGAATGGATCAAATCAATAATGGAACAAGGAAGAGAAAGGGCATCGTTGGTCTCCCTTAGTCTTGAGGAGCAGGATGAAAAGTTGAGGAAAGAGTTGGAGAATCGTCAGTTGCAGATCATGGTAGCCGATCAAGCATTGGAAGACGCCCGCTCACAATTGAAGAAAGAGGCCACAAAGACCGAGAACTTGGAAAAGGCATTGAGTGCATTTGGCCAAATCCAAGATGAAATTCGGAAACTTAGTATCGGGAGTTCTAGGGAGTCCCAACACACTAAACTAGCTAGACATGAAGACTTTGTAAGAATGGTCAGTCGAACCATCAATGAAATTGTAAAGAAGGATTAAGCTTATCCATGATTAATGAGAATTCCTGTTTTCATATTCACTTACAGGTTTGAAAAATGGGATTTACCCCGAAGGCTTGCATCATGCTAGGCCTACCCTTGGCACAAAAAGGGCTCCCAAATAGGACATGCATCCGAATTATTTTATTTTTTACTAACTCCTGTTTTTTTTTTTTCTTTTTCTTTTATTTTTTCTTCTTTTTTTGGCAACAGTCAATCAAGAAGGGCATCTAATAAGGGTTTTCTTACGTCTCCAGGTAATATTTAAATATAGCTACCCGAAGAAGCCCCATTATCACCCGATCGCGTAGCCGAGCTTCGAGGGAAAGTGTAAACATGAGTACCCATCCGGAATCATCTGAAAGGCCCGCAACATCATCAACTGATTTGGCAAATCTGGGAGCTCAGCTGAGCGAGGTTCTCAACCGGTTTAATGAGCTAAGTGTTGAAATGATGGCCCAACGGCATGTAATCGATCAATTGGTAGCTAGTGGCGCTAGCGGTGAGCAGCAACATGCACCCTTACCCCCGGGCCAATCTGAACCAATACTCTTACCATATGCTCAAATCTCGGTTTCTTCACAAGCTATGAATCCACCCGAAGAAACCTTTACTTATCCCACTCATGGCCCACCACCTACATATGCACCTCACATCCAAACTAATCCTCCTCAAGTCCAAATTTCCCAGAATTATCCGCCCATTACTGTGAGCATGCCTTTCGAACCACAAGGACCACATTATTACGCCACCGCTGAACCATTCACCCTAGATACCGCCGTTCAAGGGAAAACTGAAGTTGGGGGGTCGTCCGTGCCCGTGGACAAGAATTTACTAAAGAGATTGGATCGGTTCGAGGAGTTTATAAGGAAAAGCCAAGGTGTGAGCAAACAAGGAGGTTTGGACTACAACGAGCTGTGCCTGTTTCCGGATATGCAGTTGCCGGTGGGTTTCAAAGCACCCAAATTTACCAAGTACGACGGAACGGGGAATCCCAAAACCCACCTTCGGATATTTGCAAACAAGCTGGGAAGACCAATAGACGATGAGAATCTGCCAGTACGCTTATTTCCCGAGAGTTTAGAAGGCGACGCGTTGGATTGGTATTCCACTTTGAAGCCTGAAGATATGAAATCTTGGATGGATTTATCGACTGCTTTTGTGAGGCAGTATGAATATAATTGTGAGCTCGCTCCGACGAGGACCACATTGGAGGGGACCAAGAGGAAGCCATTGGAGGACCATAAGACATATGCGAAGAGATGGAGGAAATTGGCCGCCAAAGTGGAGCCGCCTATGACTGAAAATGAGATTGTTCGCACGTTTATTAAAGCTCATGACCCACCCTACTTTGAAGAGATTTTCCGTATGACTGGGTGTTCCTTTGCTGAAATTGTTAACAAATTGGAAGAGTATGACGAGTTTATAAGGGCAGGCAAGATTGTTAATGTTTCAGCTTTAAAGTCACAGTTGGAAGCTATGCAGAGTCAGAGTGGCAGTAGTAAAAAGGCTCAATTTAAGAAGAAAGATGAGGAAGCCTCTTTTGTCTGGGACCAGGGTTTTTCTTCTCGGCCTAGATACCAACAAAATCCCACCTACTCACCTTGTTACTTATATCAACCACACCCACGCCCTGTTTACAATACCACTATCAACCACCCCCGTCCTCGACCAAATTATCCAAACACACCATCGACGCCATTTCATGTTTCCCCACCAAACTTGCAAATTAGACCTCGCCCTCCTTTTAACCCAAGACCTATTCCATCTCCTAACCCAAGTTACCAGTACCAACAAACTCGTGACACCCAAAATCCAACTCCATACCGAACCTTTACCAATCTAGGTCGACCTGTTGACCAGTTATATGAGCAATTAAAAGCTGCTGGGAAGATTGGTACGGTACCCCCTAAGACCTATCCCAGGGGATTTCCCCCTGGTTATGATCCTCAATCGTTTTGCGCTTATCATTCGGGATCCCCTGGACATCCGACGGCCAATTGCTGGGCACTTAAGCATAAAATTCAAGATATGATTGATGCTGGAGACATAATTCTGAAAAGGAAAGATGAACAAGGGCCAAGTGTTAGCAACAATCCTTTTCCTCAGCACAAGGATACTGTGGGGACTATCACCATAGAGGAAGGGATTGAGGACCCTACACAGTACATTGTAGACGAGGCCGAGATCATGGGGGTCATTGGAGAACCGTTTATATTGGAGGAGGAAGCCTATAAAGTTGAAGAGAATACTGATCCTTTTATTTTGGAAATGATACCCTTCGAATGTGAGCCTTCGGAACTCGTGGTACTTGAATTGCCTGAGCAAACTCCTGTTCTTAATTTACAAGAGGTCCCGTGGAATTATAGCGAACCTACACTGTTAATTGGAGAGAAGAAGGTGCCTAAGAAGGAAGTGGATGCCATCACTAGATCAGGGAGAATCATAGGGGAGCCTGCAGTTGATGAGTCCTCAAAAGCAAAAGAAGGTGCTACACCAACGAAACACATAGTGACGGATGAAGAGGCTTTTAATTTCCTTAAGATGTTAAAGAAGAGTGAGTATAAGGTAGTCGAGCAATTGAACAAGATGCCCGCTCAAATTTCCATGTTAAATCTGCTCTTAACCTCGGAACTTCACCGAGAGGCCCTAGTCATGGTCTTAACTGAGGCTCAAGTGCCTAAAAATATTCCAATTGACAAATTCGCCAATGTAGTTGAACATGTTTTGGCTTCCAGTCGGATTTCTTTTTCTGATGAAGATCTAACTGCCGAGGGGATTGGACACAACAAAGCTTTGTATATCTCAGTCCGCTGTAACGGGAAACTCTTGCCAAAGGTTCTGATAGACAATGGCTCCGCTCTAAATATCTGCCCTTGGGATACTTTGGTTAAGTTAGGATTTCAAGAGACTAAATTGCGGCCGTCAACCACTGTGGTGAGAGGATTTGATGGCGCAAAAAGTGAACCAATGGGGGAAGTGGATTTAGTGATCGAAATCGGACCTGCCCAGTTTCAGGTCATGTGCCAAGTCATGAATTTTTCAAGTGTTTATAACATTCTCCTTGGACGGCCTTGGATTCACACCTCGGGCGCTATACCCTCTTCACTTCATCAGTTGCTAAGGTTTGTGGTGAATGATCAATTGATCACAGTTTTTGCAGAGGATGATTGCACAATGATTGTTAACTCTGGACCAAATGAGGAGGATAGTAAAACATCTCTGCTTTCTTCTCATCATGTGGCTGACATTGTTTCCGTAGGATGGATATCTAAGGAGAAGCCCGTGGCGGAAATGAATCTGCCAGAAGCTAGTGTTATGATGGCTAAAGAGATGATTCGAGGAAGATATGAGATGGGCAAGGGCCTCGGGCGCAACCTGCAGGGAGTTTTGGAGCCAATAGAACTTCAAGGAAAGAAGGATACTTTCGGATTAGGGTTTCAACCTACTGCCAGGGATAAAAAAGAAATGATGAATCGTAAAAAGGCGGAGAAGGAAGGAAGGCAGCTTATCATGAATATCCCACCATTGTATTGTACTTTTCCTTACCCATCAGAGGTGATCAAATCTGAAGTAGACCCGATCGAGGAAGTGGAGGTTGGGTTATCTGAGCTATTTGTGGGGGTTATTTCTGAAAGGGAGCCGTTGGAGGACCCAGGATTTCCAGAGGTGCCTATTGAAGCAATGAAGAACTGGACCCGTGATCCTCTTCCCTCCTGCAGGGAATTTCGGTAAATTAGGGGATTGCCTTTGGTCGACATGAGACAAATCGTTTATACTACTTATCTTTTGTCTTTCAAGTTTGTAAATAGTTTTCAATCAAATGCTTTCCAATGCAAGTCTTGCGTTAATTTTCTTGTTAAGTAGCATGTCATGATGTTATCCTTTACTTTGAATTTCAATGAAATGCACAGTGTTTATGGCCCAAATGGATTTGACTTACTTCCTATTGTACTCATTTCATTTTTTTTTCAGATGGCCAGAAATAAGACACATTGACCCTTTGGATATCACTATTCTGGAATTTGATGATTGTAATCTCGATATCTCTCACGAATTTGAAATTTTGGAATCAGAAATTCAAGACGAGAGCGATAACGAGGAAGAATCTGAATCTTTATTAAAGGATTTTGAACAATATGAGGAGAAATCCAAACCGAACTTAGAAGAAACAGAAGCTGTAAATATTGGCACTGAGACTGAAGTTAAGGAGATAAAAGTTAGCATTCATTTGAATAAGAAACAGAGAAAAGAGATGATTGAGTTCTTGACCATGTTTCAAGATGTATTTGCCTGGTCCTATGATGATATGCCAGGAATTTCAACAGATATAGTGGTCCACCGATTACCGACTGATCCAAGTTTTCCACCAGTAAAGCAGAAACCTCGCAAGTTTAAGCCGGATATGAGCCTCAAAATTAAGGAGCAAATCGAGAAACAGCTCAATGCTAGAATTATTATGGTGTCTCATTATCCCATTTGGCTTTCAAACCCTGTACCTGTTCCGAAGAAAAGTGGAGAAGTGCGAGTATGTGTCGATTACAGGGATCTTAACAAGGCCAGCCCGAAAGATGATTTTCCATTGCCGAACATTCATATTCTTTTGGATAATACTGCAGGGCATGAGATTGAATCATTTGCTGATTGTTTTGCTGGATATCACCAGATCTTAATGGCTGAGGAGGATAGGGAGAAAACTGCTTTTATCACGCCATGGGGGACATTTTGTTACCGAGTAATGCCGTTTGGACTAAAAAATGCAGGCGCTACTTATCAAAGGACTATGACCACCCTTTTTCATGATATGATTCATAAGGAGATGGAGGTTTATGTGGACGATATCATTATCAAATCCGAGAGAACGGAGGATCATTTGATTGACTTGGGGAGGTTATTTGAAAGATTGAGGAAATATGATTTAAAACTAAACCCTGCAAAGTGTGCATTTGGGGCCCCTGCCGGAAAGTTATTGGGATTCATTATCAGTAAGAAGGGTATTGAGATAGATCCGGCAAAGATTAAGGCCATTCGTGAGATGCCAGTGCCAAGAACGCAAAAAGACGTGAAGAGTTTTTTAGGAAAGATTAATTTTATTGGGAGATTCATTGCCCAATTGACCCATACGTGTGAGCCTTTGTTCAAATTATTAAAGAAAAATGTGTCCTTGCAATGGAATGAGGAATGCCAGCAAGCGTTTGATAAAATTAAAGATTACCTGTTGCACCCCCCGGTTTTAGTGCCACCCAAACCCGGGCGACCTTTGATCATGTATCTGTCGGTGTTGGACGAAGCTATGGGGTGTGTATTGGGACAACATGACGAATCGGGGAAGAGGGAGCAAGCTATCTATTACCTTAGTAAGAAGTTCACTGCGTATGAGGCCAACTATTCTTTTCTTGAGAGGAGTTGCTGTGCTCTAGCTTGGGCCGTCCAAAAATTGAGACATTACTTGCTCAGTCATACTACTTACCTTATTTCCCGCTCCGACCCTTTGAAATATTTGTTGGGAAAGCCTATGCCGACGGGACGTATGGCGAAATGGCAGATGATTCTTTCGGAATTTGACATTATTTTCACTACTTAAAAGGCCATCAAAGGCCAGGCTGTGGCCGACCATTTAGCTGAAAATCCGCTGAAAGATGACTATCAACCACTTCACACTTATTTTCCGGATGAGGAGGCCTTGTTCGTGGGTATAGCAGAAGATATGAATGATCAATGCCCGGAGTGGAGGTTGTTCTTTGACGGTGCATCAAATTCCTTCGGGGCCGGTATTGGAGCTGTTCTAGTATCGCCTGAAGGAAAACATTACCCTGGTTCGGCCAAACTCCGATTTTCCTGTACTAACAACATGGCTGAATATGAAGCTTGCATTTTTGGGTTAAAAATGGCATTAGAAATGGAGATTAAGGATTTACTAGTATTCAGTGATTCAGATTTGCTTGTACATCAGACTCTTAAGGAGTGGATTACTCGGGATTCAAAGATCTTGCCCTATCATTGCAACTTACTGGAGTTAGCCAATAAATTTAGGAGTTTGGAGTTTCGGCATATTCCTCGTGTCAGAAATGTCTTCGCCGATGCATTGGCCACTTTATCTTCAATGATCCAACATCCGGATGAGTTAATAATTGAACCCATCCAGATTCATCTACAAGGGAAACCTGCTCACTGCCTAGTTGTGGAAAAGTCTTCCGATGGCCGTCCCTGGTACAATGATATCAAGGAATTTCTCAAAACAGGATCCTACCCATCTGGGGCTGATATGACTGCCAAAAGTTTCTTGCGTAGATTATCATCTAAATTCTTCTTGAATGGAGAAGTAGTATACAGAAGAACGTCGGATTTGGGCCTTCTGAGGTGTGTTGACGAAGATGAAGCGGAATACCTGATGAAAGAAGTACATAGTGGAGTGTGTGGATCACATATGAATGGCCATTTATTAGCAAAGAAGATCATGAGGACTGGATATTTTTGGCTTACTATGGAGCGATCCCGGTGCCACTCATTCGTTTGTTAACCCTGATTTCATGTGTGGCATCGATATAAAACCTGCTAGCTTACCATATGACTTAGAGGTTAGTACACCTACGGGGAATCAACGTTTGGTGACTAGTATGGTCTATAGGGATTGCGACGTATGGGTAGGTGAAAGGAGGTTTTTAGGGGACTTGATTAGCTTATCCATTAAGGGGTACGATGTGATTTTGGGTATGGACTGGTTAGCCAAATATAACGCCCAACTGGATTGTAAAACGAAAATAGTTGAATTTCGCATTCCTGGCGAGGCAACCTTAAGGTTAGATATAAGGGGTAGGTTAGCCTCATCTGCTCTCATTTCGGGCATTCGAGCTAGGAAATTGATAAGTAGAGGGGCACAAGGATTTTTGGCCTTCTTAATTAATACCCCTACGGATAAGTTAAAGGTAGAAGATGTAGCCATAGTGAGGGACTTTCCGGATGTTTTCCCTGATGAGTTAGTGGCTTTACCTCCGGAAAGAGAGATAGAATTCCGAATAGATCTTTTACCTGGAACTGCACCTATCTCAAAAACCCCTTACCGAATGGCGCCTGCAGAACTTAAGGAGCTTAAGTTGCAACTGCAAGACCTTTTGGAGCGGGGATTCATTCACGAGAGTGAGTCTCCTTGGGGAGCTCCGGTCCTATTTGTGAAGAAAAAGGACGGAACGTTGAGGATGTGTATTGATTATAGGGGGTTGAACAACGTGACCATCAAGAATAAGTATCCACTGCCTCACATAGACGAGTTGTTTGACCAGCTGCAAGGAGCAGTGGTCTTCTCGAAGTTGGACCTCCGACAGGGGTACTACCAGTTGTTGATTAGGAAGGAGGACATTCCGAAGACTGCTTTTAACTCGAGATACGGGCATTACGAGTTTGCCGTTATGCCCTTTGGATTGACTAATGCTCCCGCCGCCTTCATGGACTTAATGCATAGGGTTTTTAAACCCTACCTGGACCGATTTGTCGTGGTGTTTATTGACTACATTTTGGTCTACTCTAAGTCACGCGAGGAGCATGAGAAGCATTTGAGAATGGTATTGCAGACATTGAGGGAACATCAGCTGTATGCCAAGTTTAGTAAATGCGAGTTCTGGTTGGAGAGAGTAGCGTTTCTAGGGCACGTGATCTCCCACGAAGGTATTTCGGTGGATCCGGCGAAGGTTGAGGCCGTGACAAATTGGAAAAGGCCAGAAACTCCCTCGGAGATTCGCAGCTTTCTAGGGCTAGCTGGGTACTACCGACGGTTTATTAAAGATTTTTCCAAACTGGCAGGACCTTTAACTGACTTGACAAAGAAGCATGGCCAGTTTATCTGGAACGGCCGATGCGAAACAAGTTTTCAAGAATTAAAGAAAAGATTGACCATGGCTCCAGTACTGGTCTTGCCCAATGGAATGGACGGGTTTGTAGTATATGCGGATGCGTCGCGAGAAGGACTGGGATGCGTTTTGATGCAGAACCGGAATGTGATTGCTTTCGCCTCTAGAAAATTGAAGCTTCACGAGCAGAACTACCCGACTCATGATCTAGAATTAGCCGCAGTGGTGTTTGCTCTGAAAAAGTGGAGGCATTACCTATACGGGGTGACCTTCGAAGTGTTTTCGGATCACAAAAGTCTTAGATACCTTTTCTCCCAGAAGGAATTAAACATGAGGCAACGAAGGTGGATGGAATTTCTGGAAGATTACGACTGTACGATCAATTACCATCCGGGAAAGGCAAATGTGGTAGCAGATGCCTTGAGTCGTAAGGTGCAAGTAGCAGGGCTAATGATTAAGGAGTGGGGTTTGCTAGAATCCGTGTGCGAGTGGAAACCCTGTCTAGGGAGCCATAAGGTGATATTTGGCAATGTTAGGGTTACCTCCACTCTACTGGAACGTATTAAAGAGGCACAAAAAGAAGATTTGATGGTACAGAAATGGAAAGAGAAAGTGGATAAGGGAGAAACTACGGACTTCAATTTGAGTCCTGAGGGTATTTTAAAGTACCGAAACCGAGTGGTGGTACCAAAGGATGAGGCATTGAAAGCAGAAATTCTGGAGGAAGCTCATAGGTCTAAGTATACAATCCATCCGGGTAGCAGTAAGATGTATCAGGACCTGAAAGGGACCTATTGGTGGGATAATATGAAGAGGGAAATAGCTCAATACGAGCAGAAATGTCTTATTTGCCAGCAAGTGAAGGCAGAGCATCAAAAACCATCGGGTCTGTTACAACCCTTGGAGATACCCGAGTGGAAGTGGGAAAACATCACCATGGACTTCGTTTCCGGTTTACCGAGGACACAAAGAGGACACGATGCCGTTTGGGTGATCGTTGATCGATTAACCAAGTCGGCCCATTTCTTGCCGGTGAACATGAAGTACTCAATGGACAAATTGGCTCGACTGTACGTGGATGAGGTTGTAAGACTACACGGTGTTCCTGTGAGCATCGTCTCTGATCGGGATCCACGATTTGTGTCTCGGTTTTGGCAGAAGTTTCAAGAAACCCTGGGGACGAAACTCAATTTGAGCACTACCTACCACCCGCAGACGGATGGCCAGTCAGAACGGACAATTCAGACGCTCGAGGACATGTTACGAACGTGCATTCTGGACTTTGGAGGCAATTGGGGTCAGCACATGACCTTAGTCGAATTTGCATATAACAATAGCTTCCATTCGTCGATACAAATGGCTCCGTATGAAGCCTTATACGGACGCAAATGCCGCTCGCCGATTTACTGGGATGAAGTTGGTGAGAAGAAGGCACTAGACCCGGCAACCATTCCATGGATGGAAGAGGCTCAAGAGAAGGTCAAATTGATAAGGCAACGAATCCAAACCGCTCAAAGTCGCCAAAAGAGCTACGCGGATAATCGAAGAAAAGACTTGGAGTTTGAAGTTGGAGACCACGTATTTCTTAAGATCACACCTTTACGAAGTCTCACAGCAGGTAAAGGAAAGAAACTTCAACCGCGGTACGTCGGACCCTACAAGATCCTGCAGAGGGTTGGAGCGGTCGCGTATCGATTGGAACTACCGTCTAGTCTATCTCGAATCCACGATGTCTTTCACGTCTCGATGCTAAAGAAGTATCATCCAGACCCATCTCATGTGTTGCAACCGGAGGATATCGAAGTAGATGAATCACTGGCCTATGAAGAGAAACCGGTTCAAGTACTTGATCGAAAAGTCAAAGAGCTCAGAAACAAGAAGATTCCACTAGTGAAAGTACTATGGAGAAACCACGGAGTGGAGGAAGCTACTTGGGAAATGGAAGAGGAAATGCGAAAGAAATACCCAAACCTTTTCGGGAATTAAGGTGAGAAATTTCGAGGACGAAATTCTTTTAAGGGGGGAAGAGTGTGAGAGCCCGTAAAAACCCTAATATTTTTCCTAGGGTTATTTCCCCTTTAATTGCATAATTTTGCATTTTCTGGCTTAGAAATATTTTCTGAGAGGATTTTATGAGCAGTTATAGTTTTAAGAGGATTTTTCTAGCATTGGAGAAATTTTAGAAAATTAAGAGTAAATAGTGGACGTGGGACCCACTAGTGCGAAAAGTTCGGAAAAATTCGGCCAATAAGGTTAAGTTTCGGATACTGTGTAAAATTTATCGGGTGTTAAGAGATAAGTGGAGTGTGTGGAGTGATTGATGTGAGAGAGAAAAGAATGATAAGATTGCATTTAATAGAGTGACACATGTCACTTTCTTATTGGATACCTTTTATGAATCACTATTCACCTTTTGACATTTTTTTGACTTTTGACCCAACTAAGTAAATATCCAAAAATTCACCAAAAATCATCATTTTTCTTCTCTTGTTGGCCGGCTCTCCTTAGCTCAAGAAGGAAGGGAACTTCTCCATTTTTCAAGCTTCCACTTGGTCCAATCTACCACAAACCAAAGCCTAGAGTTGATTTCACTCCATAAAAACTTTCCTTCTAGTGTTAGTAAGTAGTTTGGTGAGATTTGTTTGAAGGCCTAAGGTGCTCCACATCATCCTCTCTCTTGTTTCTTGGTAAGTGAAGCTTGAAACACCCTACTACCTTTAATGATGGTTATATGATGCTTAGAAGTGGCATGAGTGTGTGAAAATGTGATTTATTTCTTGATTTGAAGAGTTATGGTGAAGTTTTTATTTTATTGGGATTTTTTTCTGGTTTAATATGATCTTGATGTTGGGGGCTTGTATGATGAATTGTAATGGTTGGAAATGACTCTAGTGAGTGTGAATTATGGTTAAATGCAACTAATTTTGGATTTGGTGTGAAATTGAAAAGTTAGGGTTCTTAATTCCCCAATTCTGTCCGGTTTTTGATCACTGGGTTAGAGGCCGAATTTGACTTTGCTCAAAACATGAAAGTTGTAGGTATTGATGAGGTTGATGTGCCTGTAAAATTTCAGGTCATTTGGATTAATGTAGAATGAGTTATGACGAAATTACTGTAGCTGTTCTGCTTTGAGCAGAATGCGAAAACTGCGATAGTAATTGGCCATTTTGACTGGAATTGGTTTGGATTTTGGAGTTGGTGTCTTCTGATGAAATGTAGCTGAGTGTCTTAGCTAACATATGCCTTTGGAATTTTGGCATTTGGACTTGTAAGGACTGAGATACATTGATTACAGTTTTTTGTGTTTTGCGAACCTGTTTTAGGAATTCTGGGTTAGTATTTGGCATTTTCGACCTAGTTAAGCTAGGAACTGGATTGAGTGGTCTTCTACATTGTTGTAGCCCTGTTTCATAGCTTCGAAACGGTGGGTCTTACACCCCCAATCGATATTCGTAGTGAGAATTGTGCCATTACCGCATAATAAGTGTAAAACAGTTTTTCCTAATCGGGGCCAAGACTATTGCTAATTTTAATTTCTGGTTTGCTATCGTGTTCATTTATGCATATGAAACCCTATTGGGGTTGTGTTTAGCATTGTTTGGTGACTCGTTCTCGAGTCTCATTGTATGTGTTACATGTTCTAGGGCTTGAAGG